AAAATCTTTAAAAAAAAAAAAAAAGTTGATACATCCATTGGTCCAATTAGCTTTTGGAGTTGTCAGAAATGAGGAGAATCGTTTGATGTGATCAGTTTGCTCTCTACATTCATATAAGGTCTGTATCCTTCTCTGGGCTTGCTTTTCCCTCCAAGGAAAGGCAAAGCAGTGCTAACAATGGCAAACTTGGATACCCCGCTCCCTTTTTTGGAAAGTGGCTTAGAAATAAAGATTGTGAACTGCCAGTACTGAAGGAGACTATTGCAGTGGGAGAAACTGCTGAGTCTTAATTTTTTTTAAGTTGCTCTTTTAGATACCTTCTTAGGGCAAGCTATTGATGAATGTTGAAAGAATTGTAGGTGCAGTTATCTGTAAGGGTGCAATTTAAAGAAGACACCTATATTCCTATTATGTTCCCATACCTGGACAAAGAGCTAATTTCTGAAATGCATTTCATTACATTTTCTTATTTTCTCCCTAGTAACATGTTATACACAAAGAATAATACAAAAATACAATAATACAGTAATACAAAAAGCAAAGGTGTTGTTGCTGGGGGTTTTTGTTTGGTTGGTTTTTGTTTTTTGCCTAGAAACTTGCTAGTTGAATTTCATTTGTGCCATAAAGAAAGCATTAGGGAATTTTTCTTAAAATCTGGTTGAATTGTTCTGATCAGATTTATTATGTTCCCCCTCTTCCTAGCCTACAGGGCTGCTTGTTGAAGGAGAAGTGTAGTTGTAGGGGGAAAGACGAGGAAAGCTGTAGCTGTAACTTACCAAACAATGCTCCTTTCCAGAAGGACATGATCATTTGTAGCTGAAGGGAGTGATCAAGTTGTAGAGGTTACCTAATCCTGCTCTGCCTGCTTCACTGTCTTCATGTCAGTGCCTCTTAAGTACACAGACATGTTGTTGGAAGACACCCGATTTCATGCAAATTCATTCAGAATGTCCTGTGTGCCCCTTCGCCTATCCAGTATGAAAAAGGACACTTATATGCAAGCTGCGCGCTTAGATTGCTTCCTCCGACTCACTCCTTTTGCGTGTTCTGTCTTTGTGTATAGTGGTGTCTTTCGACATCTCTGTTTGCCTTTCTTTCTGTAGGAATCTGTCTCTATGGGTGTGTGCAGGTCACTTTGAGTGCGAGTCTCTTCCTGGGTGAGTGCTGGTCTCTCTCTTTGTGTCTGTATCTTGCTTCTAGATCCCTCTCTTTCTCTCTGTGTGCCTCCCTGAGTATCCATGTGTGAGGAAGTCTTTGTGTGTGTCTGAAAACACTGTAGAGCCTCCTTAAGCCTTGACCATTTTGTTCGGGTATGTGTGTACCTGTGCAAACTGGAAATGTAGGTGGTATATGCAAGCTTTGAGACTGTAAACATTTGACTCCCACCTTTTTGAGTCTTCATCCTTTATGTTAAACATGGGGGTGAAGAATAGGAAGGGAGGGGGTGTGCAGAGGTTGTAGGAAAAAAGAAATCTGTGTGTGCAAGTGCCGATCCCGTTGACCCCTCTGAAAATTGAAATAATGATAATGCGCGTCTCCTGACTGCATCAAAGTATCAGCACATCAAAAGCCAGGAGGCATGAAATGCAAATGATAAAGTGAAAGCAGATGGATTGTGCATGATCGCCTGATGCCCAATGAATTTTAAAAGGTGCCGGTTTGTAAGGGGGGCGTTGGGTGGGGGTTGGGAGTGGGGGGACTGAAATAAACACGTTATCCCTGCAATTTTTTTTTGTTCTTGACACTCACTCCTGACAATATTTTTTCACACTTGAGTGAACACCCACTCCATCTCTCCCTTTCTCCCTCTCTTTTTCTCTCTCTCTTTCTCTGTCCTCTCCAACACCCCCCCCCCACCACCACCTCTTACACGTCTCAGGTCATGTCGCTGCAGCTCCGGTGGAAATAATAAGATATAAACCACGAGGTTGTTATTTGCATAGAAATAGCATGGAGCCCCAGGCAGCAAGGGAGAAGGACACGGAGATCATTTGTCTAAAATTTTAATGAAAAGTTTTGCTGAGGCAGAGATTTTTTGAAACTTTCTTTCTCCCTGCTTTTCTCCTCCCCTCCCCACCCCACCCCCACACCCCATCACTGATTTGACTTAACATGGTTCAATTTGAAGAGAAAAGGTTGACACACCACATATCATACTCCTGTAATACAGCAACATGTAAATTGTTTGTTCCTTTAATAGATACGAAGCTGGAGAGACACACATTCCCAACTTAATACATTGCATGTATGCATCAAGCTTTTATGGCCACACTCCATCTCACTGCACACGTGATGTTGCCTGTCGTTAGCCGACCTGTTTTTAATTAGTTGAGACCTTCCTACCTTTTGCTTCCAAAGACTCCTACTTTTTGAAGGTTTTCTTTTTGTAGCCAACAGTAGTAACCTGCAAATAAAATATAAATATTCTAGCATTTTCCTGTTTCTTTACTTTCAGTGGTTTTACCATACACTTAGACATTTTATTCATGGGCACCATCCTTTGCCACTGTGTCTTTTGTTCCAAAACCAGAAAGTGCTTCCTGCATTTGTATTTTTGTCGCTTTCCCCTTATTATCTCAGTATTTGTATAATCTCTTTCCGTGTCTATCTTGCTCTTGGTTGCCTGTAGTTATTTGTAACTATTTGTAAATATTTGTAATATTCAGAATATTACCAAGTTGAGAAATGCAGTATCTGGGTTTTCTTAAGTGCTGCAGAAGCAGATTTGCTATGTGAACTAAGGCAGTGGGCTGGTGATTAGAAGCAGTTTGGATGACTTTATTTGAAACTTAGATCAAGAACATCAGTCCAGCTCCTTTCGACCTTCTGGGGTGAGCTAGTGGTGTCAGGGCCATTTTACAGATGGGAAGACTAAAACAGAGGTAAAGCGACTTGGTTCCATTGGCAGAGACTAAATCAGCATGAGAACATGAATTTCCATGTCCCCTAAGTTTCATTCAAGATGGGCTCAGTTCCCTGTGCTTAGTGTCCACAGGGCCTGAGAAGAGAAAATGGTCTGGTCATTTTCCTTTTTGTGCAAATGTCATGAGCATGACGACGTAATTAAGAGAAACTTCCGGGTGCCTGGGTGGCTCAGTTGGTTGGGCGACTGCCTTCGGCTCAGGTCATGATCCTGGAGTCCTGGGATCGGGTCCCGCATCGGGCTCCCCGCTCAGCGGGGAGCCTGCTTCTCCCTCTGACCCTACCCCCTCTCA